TATGCCTCTTTCAGGATCGTTATATATCGTTACATCTGTCAAAAAATGAAGCCGACGCACAGGATCCGGTGAACAATTATGTAAGGCCGGATAGTCTTACGGATATGGCGGAACCACAAATTGCTTTCAAAGATAAAAGAAAGCATCCAGTAGAAAAGTGTAGCAAAACGCATCTTCTCAGTACGTTTTCTTATGCCATGCGGATGCTCCGTTTTTCGGTTGCTTCCAGGAATTAAACTCGCTGAGGCCTTTTAGGATTCTAGCTTTTCTAGAAGAAAACAAGTGCTTCTGTTAACCAGTAAGAATACCAGTCATCTTGCAATTAATTATATGGCGCTTAAGCATGTAAATTTAAAAGTTTATTTTCCCAAAAAAAGTTAGCGGCAACTCAATGGGCAATAGGATGACTTATAATAGGTGCCATCAGATATTAGAACGTTTGGAGTGAAGTACTGAAATTTTGATTTGATATTGACGCTACTCGGAAAAAAAATTGCGAATTGGTCATGTGACAAGAATGCGAGACAATAGACGAACAAAGCTAACTACCAAATGGTACCTCTCCGCAAACTTTGAGAAGATTTTCGAGAAAGGTCGGTAATGTGATGGAAGTTCTGCTTGAACGACTACATGGAATAAGTGAATGAGGAACTCAGAACAGGAACTCAGAAATGAAAAAGTTGCTAAGTTGCATCGATGGTGAGGGTGAACTTTATCCGCTAAACCGCATTTTTACGCCAGTTTGCTTTTCAGAAGAAACTGTCAGCAAAGAAATGGTGCAAATCGAAGTGCTCGATGATAAGGCGGTTGATCGTGGCAAGAAAAATGCTAGCGACTATTTTGCTTCTAAAAAATCAAAAAATCACTTATTTGCTAATTTAGAAAAGGTCCCTCAATTTTTTTTTCGCATTTTGTAACTTTCTGTGGCTGCCAAATGTTTCTTTTTTTTTATCTCAAAAGTCTTCGTTTTTTTTAGGTTTTCTTGCTCCACATTGCCGGTATCATTCGTTTCAGGCGCTTTGTTGTTCCTCGGCGGAAAACTGTGGCGCTGCATCAACGGGTACAACAAATTACAATAATACAACTAATTCTTCTCTTTCACATGAGTAAGTCTAATATTCGATTACCAATTGAGGTAAAAGAAAAACTGCGCTAAGGGTAAACTACCATAGTTTTTCAGCAATTGCTACTTTACCACGTTAATATGAAACAACGGCTAATTGAAATATAAGTGCAGCGATTCCATAAAAAGGCAGAAAACCTTGGATTTGAATGACTCATTGCTCAGCAACACGGATTTGCTAGAGTAGCTACCCAGATGGAAGATGATATTTCATTACTTTTCATTCCCGATTAGCAATGCTTCGTAATTATAAATAAAGAAATAAAAGTTGTCTCATAATTAATTTTCGATCAAAAGCACAGGCACACACGGATGTGTCCTGATTAGCAACGCATGGATCTATTCATCTATTGTCTCACATGGGTAGCCAAATTTTTTTTTATGGCGTACAATATTGCCTTAATAATACTGCTCACATCGAACCGAGACCTAGTATTGAAATTCCGTACCGGTGGTAAAATTTTCCAGATAGCAAGCGACAATTCTGAAATAGTATTTCGTATCTTAATGAATTTCATCATTTCAGGCGTAAATTATTGAGCAATGAAAGGAGAACACCGAAAAGTAAGCTTTTTAGCTTTTTTATTAGAAACTTTTCCTTGTTCTTGTAATATTAAGCTGATTCGTTGAGCATTCAAATGCCAGAATCCTACCTAAGTTTTACCACTGTTACCCGCTTTGAGTGTTGCATACATTGGGAGAGATTGGGTTTGTAAAAAAAAATTATTTAAAAGCACAGTTATTAATGATTACTTCTTTCGAAGGCTGCTTAGAAGCAAGTTAATGACGGAGTTTGACTCCCTGGTATAAGCCACCACCAATTTATCATCAAAACGAATGAACGGAGAAAGAAGGTTGATTGTTCCGTGGCGGAACTGAACTTTTGATCTCCCGCACGAGAATATTACTTGCCACCGCGCGTCATGTGAGCCACTTAGATTTCAAGAAATTAATTTCAATTATCACTGCTTGCAGCACCAACGTGGCGTCGTCAGTTACGAAGCCGTGTATTCCGGACCACACTGCTGGTCGTCCTGACACACGTGATTTTTTGGTTCCCGTACAATTTCTACTCGCTCATGAAATACATTGATATTGAATTTTATGCGCAAATGAGCGAGCATGCTAATGTCTTTAAAGATTTACAAATCCTTATCACCCTTATCAATCCTTTTTTGTACGGTTTTTCCAGGTAACCAAAACTACTAGTCTTAGCGGCTGAGGAAAAATCCGCGATGCAATTTTGAGAATAACAAAAGCGCTCGGACAATTGAATTAATTTTTTAAAATTTTTTTTTTATATTAGCCCAAAATTTTCAATAGAAGATGCTGCTTCGAAATTTTTCGAATTTTCAGCATCGAAAATCCGCCAATCTCAAAAATCGCTAATTTACATTCATAAGAATATGTAGCTTCTCTAAAACCTGGGATTTCCTAACTGTGTCTTTGTAAAGAGCAGCTGTTTCTACAATTTCTAGCCACGGGTTAAAACAGGTTTTCAAGAGCTCATTTTTTTCAGGCCTTAGTCTCATATTTTAGCCATCTTCACCTATCGCTTATTCATGCGCTGTTTTTGCATGCGCTGTAAATTCTGCTTAATAATGAATAATACTGAGGTACAACCAGACCGTACACACATTTATTGGCAATGGTACCCAACTATTTAAGCGAGATTCGTGGGACCCTCACTCCATTTGTCCAGGAAACAGTGCTTGAATGCAGTTGCATCAGAGCAGCATTAAGAGTATCGAGCTAGTTTTGACGAACACGGTTTTATCAAAATTGCTCGGACAATCGTGATACTGTCTAATGAATAACACTGAGGTACACCCTGGACAGTTCACATGCATACTGAAGATGGTATTTAAAAGTCTAGACAAGTTTTCTGAGTGATGCTTGACGTGTTTGTACTTTGCTTGGCTGCACTGGGGATTCCACACCGATTGTCAGGCTAATTTTTTAATGAGCAATTATCACCCATAATTTTATCAAAATTGCTCAGATAAATTGCTCAGGTGTGATAATTCCATGCTAATGATATTTTGCAGATGCAACTGTGCCAGGTTCCGTGCACAGTTTAAAAATTTCAAATTCAGCCACAAACTATACGTGGTACTTAATTATGAGCATGTGAAGGTTTTGGTGAGAAAAATGCTAACTCAGGAAACAAAAAAGCTGAAAAGCTGAAACTTTGATTGACATGCCTTTAGTCAGTACCCACGGTCTATTCAGTTATGTTCGTCACTTTTCTGAAAGTCGCAAAAATAGTCGTTTACTTCATCGCGAGTACCATTCTCTATTTTTATAAGCAGGAATTACATTCAAGTTAGCCTCGCAACGGGAACTGAATTTTTGTGAATAATAACTGGTTTAAATAAAAACAGCTTAGTCTGTTATCTTTGCTCACTTATTCTATTTGTATTTTTTATGCGCATAAAACACTTTTGTCTATTAATTTTTTACTCATTTTAACTCACTGCTGCAATATATTGCAAATCCAGATATCCACTTGTAACATCACAGTCACGCCAAAAAAGTCAGGTGAATTTTAATATTTTTTTTTACTTTTCCCGAACTGATCATAGAAATGTGTTTTAAATTGATAAAAGTGAACCTATTCCAATGTTTCTTTCCACTACACACCCCCCTCCCACCCCCTCTTGTTCGATCCTGTCCCCATTCCCTCGTTTTCCTCCTCGCTTTTTCAGTTCCCACTTCCAGCATATTGCCCTCCATCCTTCTTGCTTCTCTTTCAACAATGTTAGTGTTAATTGTTTTAGAAAAAGAAATGATTTTTATGCGTTTTTGCATATATGTAAATTGCAAAAACGCATATTGGGAAGAGGCTGT